CACTTTTCATGATAGTAGCGCCACCTAGTGGCCAACCCGAAAGCGACGCATAGAATATTAAATTTTTCGCCAGGCCTGACCACTTTGCCAAATAAAATTGAGTTTTCGTATATGTTCAGGGGGGCAAAAACGCAGTCAAAGGCGCTAAAAAATAATAGGTAAGAAGAATAAGAAACATAGCAAATACAATAGGGACCTCCAGTGGTCGCTGGCTCGGCCCCTAAAAAGTGAATTAATTGTAACACTAAATTAGAGCAAGTAAACGTACTCTGAAAGTCAACTGAAACTAAACCTGTAATAAAGATATAAGTAACAGTAGTTCTGGTACTCAGTCATAATGAATCCCAACCATAGTTCTCTTCTATTGGTGAAACAGGTTGAGTTGTTGTGGAGTACATGATTTTAGTGGCTGTTTTAGTGATAACTTTTGCTTATGGATTTGAGACAGGAGAACAGGAGAGACATAACAGTCAGGATTATACAACCAAGCAAAACAAATTCAAAAACTAAATAATCTAATGTCCCTAACTTACTTTGACCCAATCAAGCAACCTGGTGGGAATGGGTTATGTAATGTTTTGGCAATATTTTTCAAATGGTTAGTATTTTCTTGTATGGTAGAATTATGGTCAGGTATAAACGTGCAACATACAGTTCCAATGACAACCCAAGTTCCACCTTGAGAGGCCAGTAAATAATCCAGTGCTGCCTGGTTTTGTAAAACCATCATTCTTACAGCAGTCATTTCTTGTGAGAGCTTTAGCAGTAGAATTTGCCAGATCTTCAACTGCATGAGAAAGGTCTCTTATTTGATCCAAAGTTGGCATGACTCCATAATCTGGAAAGAGAGCACTAATATTGGCTGGTATCACATGACCTAGACCGCATACTCCAGACCATCCCTTTTGGTAAATGATGGTAAATGAAAGCATTCATTCCATAAATTCAGTTACATTTGGATGTTGCCAAGTGAATGTTGCCCTTACCTTCAACACATCATTTTAGGGTGTTTGGAACCACTGAGAGGGTGAGAGGGTTAGGGGTAGCGCAAGAATAACAAGAAAATTAGTTTTTCTTCTGGAACTCTCTGATGCAGGCCCATTGTTGTGGTCGGATGTGACACGGTTTGTCACTAGGAGGAGACTGGACAGCTTTTATTTGTCTGTGGATTAGCTGAACAGCAGCAGGCAATGACATCTGTAGCTTTTCAACATTATCTGACACATCCACCTTTTGCTCACATGTGACAAGCCATGAGACATGTGAGCTATCCACGGGTCCGGGGAGCTGGGAGCCACAATGCAGCCATCATTGTGGACCCACAAATTACATTTGCATCTAATATTTACATCCATGGTAAATCCACAACCAATGTTTCTCTACATTAGTAGTTTTCTGTAAGAGAACCACATGGGAAGGAAGAAAGGTCATTAGTGGGTACAAGGAACAGGGTTTTATATGAAGCATGCCACTTTTGGCAGCGGCATGGTCGGCCAAACAGTGTCTCATGAAAGAGGGTTGGATTTGGTGGACGTCACATTTAACAACAGCAATTGTCATGTTTAACAGGTGTCCTAGAGGATATAATGAATCCTCTGTTTGCCCACTATTTTAAGTTAATGAAACATTCATAAGTATCTATGGAATCTGTGTAAATGTTAACAATTTTACCTTTTGCCAGGTGACAGGTCATCAGTATGAATAGCTCAGCTACTTGGGTCGAGCTTGAGGGTTTGACTGCGTTGTGTTTTTAATTTTTTTAATTTGTGCTACTAACTAGGTTTTAAGAAGTTAAGGAAGAATTTTTTCTTTGTCTATTTGTTATAGTTTTTAAGAAGGTAGAATCTTACTTTTAGTCTATTTCTTCTAGTTACTTCATCACTTTTTCCTTTGTTATAAATGTTCCTTAAACATTTATTTTCCTCTTTATGTTTCTTTTTGTGGTTTTCCTTTTTCTTAGCTTTTTATCTTTTTTTTATAACTATCATACATGTATTTAACAGGGTTGATTAACTCATTCTCTGACCCTCTACTGAGATAACTTCCCATTGTCTTTTCTATGGGATCCCTCCAAAAACATTTATTCACACTTACTTTTACGCACAATTCAGTTCCCAATTCTTTCAATCAACATTCTACTCAGAAGATATACACACGTGGACAAAATTGTTGGTACCCTTTTGTTAAAGTAAGGAAAACCCACAATGGTCACTGAAATAACTTGAAACTGACAAAAGTAATAGTAAATAAAAATTTACTGAAAATTAACTAATGAAA